CCGCAAGCACCGCACCTTGTCCTCCGTGGCCTTTCCGCTCGCCCCCGGGCCTTCTCAAGCACGAGGGGCGCTCGCCACGGGCACTGCACCCGCCCACCTGCTGCGCCACCACCCACTCCGTGCTGGCATCGAGCTCTGCGTGCCAACGAGCCTCCGTTCGTCCAAGCAACAAGTAGATGTTTGACTGAAAATGCATGTTGCAAGCATATGTTTCAAGTGTTTCAGATGCTAAAGAGGTATGTTGCAAGTGTTTTATATCGATGTTGCAAAAGTAGATCGGGATGTTGCAAATATTATAATAGCTATATACGTATGTTTCAAGTGTATGTTCCAAATGTTTCATCTCTTTCAGAAGTATGTTGTAAGTGTTTCATTTGGATGTTGCAAAATTAGATCTGGATGCTGCATATATTTATATATATGTAAGTGTTTCAGGTGTTTTCATACGTACGTTGCAAGTGTTTTCATCTGGCTGTGTTGTATATTTTTGCAATGGCTACACACGTGTTTTTAAGTTTTTTCTTTTATTTTGCAAGTGTTTCAAACGTATGTTTCAAGTGTTTCAGCTGTTTCGGACATGTGTTGCAAGTGTTTCTTCTAGATGTTGCAAAAGTAGATTGGGTGTTGCACATGTTGTAATGGGACCCACCTACTACTGCAGCTGCTGGGGCGTCGCTGTGGGTCACCGTGCGGGCGCCTAATAAGGCCGGCAAACGCATCCACGGCTTCACCAGCGTGAGGTCCATGTGGTGGGGCGCGTAGAAACATGCGGTGCAGGCTTCTTTCGTGTGCGTCGTGGCCTCCCGTGCGAAGGACCGAAGGCGTCCGATATTTTGGAGCGGCCCTGGACGTACGGGCGCCAGTAGTTCCCATTTCAGAACCTCCTCTGCGTGTATTTGGATTACAGGTCACTAGATATAGTACGTATTCTTGTTTTAGGAGAAAAATTGGACGACAATAATAATTAAGAGGTTAAATAGACTTTATTTCTATATAAAAGGAGAAAAGAGGAGGAAAAAATTGGTTGTCCGAATTTAACTAGGTTTAGCCCATATAGTTTTTCCAAAAATATTTAGGATTTTATAACACATTTTAACTAACAGTACTGTTACAGATGAGGTCACGCTCTATGGTAGATATAACTATTTTTGTCTCTAAATCCTATGCTAGGTAGATGTGAGTTTCAAAAGAAAATAGTGCATTTGGCATTTCACTTTTCACCCCAGCAACGCAAGAGCAATTTATATGAACCATGGCAGCGGAGTATATTTTTTCAGTTTAGATCACGCTCTCGAGTAGATAACCAACAAGTTTAATTATTTTTCCATGAGCCACACTCAGGGATAAATATTGTTTAACCAATAATTTAAATACCTTCCCTGCAGCCTTTGTGCACAGGAAAATAATGAAACAAACAGATTAAATATCTTCTTTGTAGGCGCATATATAAGGAAAATATTGCCATAGTCAGGAATCGACAGGTCAAATAATATTCCTGTGTATTTGACAAAAACAGTGTCTGTCTAGTCTAACCGACTGTTTTTTTTTTGGTTCTATTTTTCTATGAGTTTTCTTATCACAAACAGGGAAATTAAGGTTCTATGAACCTAGTAGACAGTATCACAAACAATGTTTAGGTTCATCAAAACAATATTTTACGTGTATAAAGGCTCTCCAAAAATGTCCGATCGTCTCATATATAGCAAATCTTTATTCCAAAAAAAATAATGGAACAAACTAGGCTAATCGTGTTTTTTTTGTGTGTGTGTTTTGGTTCGGATTCGATCCGACCGGGCGGCTGTTGATCCCTCTCTGATCCGTCACCGACGAGTAGTCCTGGATCGCCCTGCTGCTTTTCTCTCCTACAAATACGTACGGGGTACGCGCGCACGGTGGCGGGCGGCCCGAGAGCACTTGCAAGTTTGCAACCAATCGAACGTCCGAAAACCTACCGAACCGAGACCTCGAATCTAGCTTGCGACTTTGCGCCGACACCCGGCAGTCGGGCAGTTACACAAACAAGAACACCAATCATCATGCCAGGGAAAGGCGAGTGCAGCGAAGAGGAACACAAACGAGAACAGCAGTCATCCATGCCGGGGAAAGGCGAGTGCACGCCGTCCCAATTCGAGGGACTGCTTGAGTTGATCGACGAGAAGTTCGCTAATGGCGACCTCATGGATGCCATGTCACTGGCCGACATCGTCGACGAGTCGTATCCCACCAAGCGCGCGAGAACCGCCACCTATATCCTGCACTGGATCGCCACCGCCGCTGACCGTGGCGAGACCATCCTCGGCAGAACCAGCGCCAAGACCCGCCTGTTCCATCGGATCCGCACCGAAGCCGACAGGAAGGAACTCTGCGACCAGCTCCGCCCGGACAAGAGCCGTCGCGACTCTACCGTAGCCGCTGCCGCCTACGAGGCTCTAATCCAGTATATACGAAGGCCTAGTTCCTACTGTTATCCTTTCTCCGATCGAAGGTGGAAATCGTTCGGGGGTTATTAAATAGATAGATAGCTTTTGTTACGCGAAAGCTTCCCCACTCTAATCCTTTCTCCGAGCGAAATTATAAATTGTTCTGTTTTTTTTTCCTGTATACTAGTTGCTATGTACGTGTGTGCCGCACATGTTTATGATTATAATAGTTAACGTCCTATTCCAATAAGATGTGGTTTTTGAATTATTTTATTAATGAGGCATTATGATGATTGGCAAACATACATGGTGGTCTTCCATTGTAAATGAACACACTTGGAGCATGGTCTGGTTATAAAGGAGAAAATGGTTGGAGTTTAATCGGAAATGAGGGAACACAATCGGGGTTGAACTGATTTTATAGGCTACAAGAAGTGGTGGGCGGTGGCATACTGGCATGGCAATGAAACCCTAGAATTCCCTTCAAACAAATATGCCATTGTATATATATAGGGGGCACCAATTTTCATCTTTTTTTTTGTTTTTATTGCAATCCACAAATATATACTCCCTCAGTCCCATAGAAGTGTTACTCTCGCTTTCTGAGATGTCAAACATTTTTAACTTTGATTAAATATATATTAAAAATATTAACATTTATGATACATAATTAGTATCATTAAATATATGGTTGAATATATTTTTATAATAAACTTATTTGGAGATATAAATGTTGCTAATATTTTATATAAACCTAGTTAAACCTAAGAAAGTTTGATCAGCACGAGTCCCATAGCGATTCTTTTATGGGACATAGTAGTTTGATGTATTCTCTCATTTACTAAAAACATGACTCAACTTATGGTCTTTACTTCTTTTAAAGCGTCATCATTAATTACTATAGCTTTTTAAGAAAACATATGACGGATACTCCCTCCAAACTGGTAATTGAAGTCGTTTTGGACAGCGACACCGTCTCCAAAGCATAACTTTGACTTCTTATTTTTATAAAAATATTTATTGGAAAGTGATATATGTATTTTTTATGAAAGTACTTTTCAAGACAAGTTTATTCATATGGTTTTGACATTTCTAAACTCAACAACTTAAAAGTTACTCATCATTTATATTCCCAATGTTTGATCTAAACCTTGTCCAAAACAACTTGAATTACCGGTACGGAGAGAGTACAAAATAAGACACAATTCAAAGTTTGATGAAAGGCATTAGTGTGGCTTAGCTATTAATTAACAGATTACGAAAATAAGTTATTACAGCAATAATAATTTGTAATATTATTTATTTGACTTTTGCTTTGCAGCTTTGCACATTGTATTGTTTATAATTTTTCATGTACCTAATAATTTTATATAATATATGTTGTTTGATACCTTAATATTTATATTAAGGATCTCTATTTTAGTTTCGGTCCATGCCACATAAATCTCAAGACCGGCGCTGTCTGCATATGGATAGTAGAGTGTTTCTTTCATACAGTACAACACAGTAGTGTGAGTGTCTCTATCAGCTTGGGATGTTTCTCCAGCACGTGCACGCCTGTTCTATGGCTGTGGTGTGGTATAATTACTGAGTTTTTCTGGTTATTTGTCTGACACGTCTGTTCTATGGCTCAGGTGTCATTGTTAATTTCCCCCCCTAGGTAATGCTATTTTTTCCACTTTTGAGTTTTGCATTTGCAGTTCTGCTAGACTGTTATCCTTGTTAACGATGACACATTTTTTATTAAGAGAAGATGAAAAAGCTTACAACAAGCGACTTAGCGGTAATCACATGGTTTACCAGAGAGGAGTCACACACGAGAGACGAGAAACAACATAGAAAGCCGATGCACATAATTGAACCAAGAGTGACCTTAACTGCTGGAAGCGAAGACCACCACAACTTTAGTATTCATTGTGTTAACGTTTAAGGTTGTTTGAAAATTTTAAAATATGAGAATTTTGAATCACATATTTAGGACTCAAACCAGTAGTAGATCACATTAAGAACTATAACTTTATTATAGACCATGTCGATACACAAGGCCGTTTGGAAATTTAAATTTCAAAATTTGATAACTTAGCATGTTCATTTGGCTGTGGCTTGTCGTAAACGATCGTAAATTTCCAGCCGGAACAATATTTTTCTCTCACATAAACCAGCCAGCAGTACTTCTTCACGAACCAGCAACGAAACGAACCAGCCAACCGAACAGGCTGTTACAATAAAATTATAGGATTCTAAATAGTTTCAAATAAAATACTAATCATCTCGCGTTAAGCTATATAACTCTGGTATAAAGTTCGTCTTCATTTGACTTGATATAAAAACAGTTTTGTTTATTTTTGTTGTAACAATTTCTAGAGACGTATGAGTGCCGCATTTATTAATTAATCGAGTTCAGTATCGCAATTGTGACAATATCATGGATGAAACTATACTAACAATCCAAATACAATTATCAGACATCGCACGTAATCTGGTACATGATTGAGATACAGCTTTGCAGCTTGACTAGTAAGTGGCACTGTGAACCAGAACCAGCTTCACCTTTCTTAAGAACGGTTCGAATGTGGAAGTTCAATGTGAATCTTGATCGACTGATGGCTCATCAACGATGCGTGTATCCTGGCGGTAGACGTACTTCTTTGCCCAGTACAAGTAGTTAAGGAAACCAAGCAAACCGACAACAGCCACAACCCAGTAGAACAGGTCAAGATGGCTGCTGTCCAAGCTTGAACCCTCGAGCCACCCTCCGTGGTGCCCATGCCTCGTGATGCTGTTCACTGCTTGCACCAGGAAGGTGGCCAGCAATGAAGCAAGCCCTATCTCACACCAGAACAAGGCTGTGGCAATGGACTTCATGCCCCGTGGTGCCTCACTGTTAAAGAACTCAAGGAGCCCAGGAAAAGAAGTCACGTCCGACACGCCCAGCAGGAAGAACTGAGGCGCAAGCCAGAACAGGGACATCTGCACTGCAGCTACTTTTCTCTTTCTCTCAACTACTGCTGCGATGACTGATGCAAGTATCATGGAGGCAAAACCTATGCCGATGCGCTGCAAATGAGTGATGCCACTGGCATAGCCTGTGCGCCTGCGCAAGAACGGCACAATGAACCGGTCATAGATGGCAAGCATTACCATTTGGAAGGTGATGGGGATGATGAAGAGTGTCGCGGGGGAAACATGGATCTTGCCCAGCCTTGTGTTTGTCATGCCACCTTGCTGCACGGTGAATGTGAAGATGATAGGGTTTGATACATATCCGATCATGGAGCTGACAAACAGAGGAAGCATACGGAGCACAGTCTTCGTCTCCTCCACCTTCGTCACACTGCAAAGTGACCAGGCTCCTTCTTTGCCATGGTTAATGCAAGCTTTATCGAGGAATCTGGCGAGATGCACGGAAAAATAGTTTATGAGAGGAAATACCAGCAACGAGGCAATGCTCCCTATACAACTAGTAATGTGCAAATGAAAATTGTTAAGTGCTTCTGCTAATCTTACTTGAGGCTATTTGTTTGGGAGAGTGCTTTAGTAGAGCCTCGCTCAGCACTGCTTTCATGTGCTTCTTCCAGCTCCTCAGGCAGTCCAAACCTCTTATTTCTCAATGCAACCACAAGAACCTAGAGAGGCAAGGTTGCAGCTAATTAACATTTAGAACACACTTGTCGATTATTTGAGGTTAGATTTTCAACCTGCAGGATTCGAGTTAGAGGGCTTCCTTCAGGTACTTGGTTGCGGTAAAATGGGAGGCCAGCCGCAAACACAAGCAACCCAAGCAGAATTAGGATAGCAGACAGGCCAAGTCCAATGTCCCACCCCTTGTAGTTCTCAAGCCACACAATGAAAATTAGCCCCACAAAACCTCCAAAGGAGATCCCAAAGGTGAACCAGTTAAAGAAGCTGGACTGTTGGTGGGACTCGGAGGGATCTTCATGGTCAAACTGGTCTGCTCCAAGAGATGGCAAGCAAGCACGGATGCAACCTTCACCAAATGCACTGATATACAGGGCTGTGTAAAACAGTGTAGCGTTCCAACCATGGGCCTCTTTGCAATTACTTGATTCGGCTTCAATGTTGCAAGTTGGTGGATGGAGTGATGGAACGTAGGCTTGCAATGCAAGCAATCCGTAGCCCTGCACAAGTGCATGTTTAATCACAGTTCACACATGCCACTACTACGATTACTATTACTGGTTTTTTCTCTCTACCGTTACTTTTGTGGCTATAGAGTTGGGTTCCATCTCTAGCCTATCCGAACTTGCTTCGGAATAAAAATGTTTGTTTTTGTTGTTGTTGATGGAAACAGTTACAGTTTTCTATCTGAGAATTAAGTGGACTTCACACTTTCACTGTCAAGACTCAAGACTATGCCAGAGCAGGTAATCTTAACTTGCAATGAATTGAACTTCAATAAAACAAGGTAGGCTTCCAGTGAGTTTTAAGATTCCAGTAAGTTCCAACCCCCTCTTAATTGGAAGTCAAAGCTCCTTCCACCTTTTTCCAAAAAAAAAAAAGTTTTAAGTTTCAGCTGTTCCCCAAATACTAAAAGCCTCACTGTTTTAGTAAAGTAAATGCAACGGCCATTCCCACCTAGCCAGATAACCTGAAATTTGGTAAACACAAAATCAGTTTATATCTGTAACTACCTCCATTTGAGCTTTGGGAAAGTACTTCACCAACTTCAGCTTCACACAGGTTACTACAATTGTACAGTTTACTATAATCAGATCCTAGCATGTATAATTGTACCAAAATAAGAGCAACTCAAGTGAAATTGAGTATTGTGCTGCCAACTAATTTTCTGTGACAATGTGCAATTGGTGTTGTGGATGTTTGCACTGGATGCATATCGCAAGGAGCTGGCATCCACAAGTGCCTACTTTGAGTTTGTTAGGGTAATAGATGATCATAGCCCTCTGGATCTGATCAAATGGATGGTACACAGTTAATTGGGAGTACCACAACGAAGCCCTTAAGAATTTGTTTCAGATTATTTACTAGTCTTTGGATAAGAGAAGTAGCAGGTCTGCTAGGAGGTTAGAGCCATATCTACATATAGAGTCTGGCAGATCAGTTTGTAATCAAGGAATAAATAAAACTAATCCACAAAATAGGTTGCTCACCGCTAGGTATCTCCTAAACCCAGCAATCTATCCATATCAATTGGGGTATTCTATAAAAGCTGAGGGCGGTTTGTGCCTGCAAGAGGATTAGCTGATGATTTGGGCATAGAAATGAATGCTCTGGATGTCAATTTCTGAAATAAAAGTAATGCGGGAAGGCAATCTTTAGCATAGTCTTAGGATACTAAACTAGTTGAGAAAACTATTTAAACTATCACTGCATTCTCTACTATTGATAGGTTCACATTAGTAACAGCAATAGAACATGCAAGCTATCTTTGTAAGCTGTAGCTGGTTGGAAAAAACATAAGAAAAGATTACCAGAAACTCCAATGGACCCAAGAGAAGTATAGTTCTAGAACGAGTGATGTAAGAGTCCGAGAGGAAAGCTCCTATCAAAGCAAATCCGGATGTAGCACCAACAAAATTAGTGACTGTAGTTGCAGAGTCCGACACTCCCATATGCATTGTTCCTCGGAGGTAGGTGACCAAATTCAGCAAAATTGGGACATTCACCATGTTTATTACAAATGTCAGGACTGTAAAGAAGAAAAAATGGAGCAGAGGAAGTTTGAACATATAAGAAATTATCTCATCCAGGACCCATGTGCAATTGACTACAAACATAATTCAGGAAGGCAAATCATACAAGGAACTTAGCATGTAGAGACTTACAGTACAGAAACCATGCTGCTTTAACCCCTCCATGCACCTGTCTGTCGACGAGGTTTCCTCGCCAGTCCACAAACCCTCCACTCGCCATGGTACCGAAAATTTTCTTCTCCCTCTTGATTATTGTTTGCCCATCGGATCCCTTGCAAACAAGATGGTATAAGTAAGCATATGGTCTCAAACTCTGGATATTATAAAATTCAAAGGGAGTGGGTGATCAATCAGAGATTCTAGCCTATTTTATGCCATTGCTACTCAAGACTGTATAGTACCAACTACCTACACTAAAGTTGACTTCGATTGCTTCTACTTCTTGCTGACTGAAATTTAGGCACTAAAACTAATAAAAAAATCTGAGGCATGCACAAATGGGAGATGTCTCTAAGTAAGAAATAAAAGAAAAAAAAAGCATCCATTGCTATATGCATGCCATCATCCTAAGTGTGATATTTGTAATTTAAATGTCAATAGTAAATCTTTTGCAAACTAACTTCCTCTGCATAGCGGTGCAGCTTAACTTATGAACAGGATATGCTTATGTCTGAAAGTAGGTACATCAGAATCGGAAATCTAATAAAATAAAGATATGCTTATGTCAGGGCAGGATATGCTTATGTCTGATATTGTTTTAGAAGGTGGATAGGTAACAAATAATTAGTCGTGTGCAAGCACAATTACCAGATATGTTACAAAGATAGTAGCAGTAACAAGGGGAAAAAAATCAAAATGCAACCAGCAGCATACCTGAGCACGGAAGTCCTGAAATCAAGAGTGTTTGTTTGCTGGCTACTGAAGTCCTCTGCCAACAGAAAATAAACTACATCAAATCTTTTTCCAACACTGAAACAGCGTCAGTGAGCTTCTTGTTACGGTCGCCTCAGTTCATGGACATGGCAAGGAGTTAGTTCAAATATAGATTATATAGGTTTCTGGTAACTGGTAAGGTGATGGTGTCCTTATTCCCATAACTAATCACATAATTCAGGAAAGATAGATCAAACAAGGAACACAACATACAGATTTGTAGTATAGACCATGTTGCTCTGACTCCAACACACAAATCTCTGTAGATGGGTTTTGCTCTCCATTCTACAGAGCCTCTAATTGACATGACACTGCTGAAAGTTTTCCTCTTGATTACTTCCAGTGCATAGCCTCTTTCACAAACAAGAGGGGTATGAATCTATAGACAAGCAGATGAACCTTGAAACTTAAAGAGGTGGTAGCAACAGCCAAAAACAGTATCAATCAAAGATTCTGGCCTATTTTATGCAATTGGTATAGAACACGCCAGTGTACCAACTACCAACGCTAAAGATTATTTCTTACCTGCTTCCTGCTGACTGAAATTTGGACACAATAACAAACATCCGTTAACATCAGGGGACAAAACTCAGGAATATTTTACAATGAGGGAGATCTGCATGCACCAATTTTTAGCGAACATTGCTTGCCACATGCCAAAATATTGAATGTGTAAATCAATTGTTAAATGTGTAAATCAATTGTTAGGCTACTGATTATTTTGAGCGATTAATACTTATGCACAGGGCATGATGCCTGTCGGGGATCAATACTAGGGTACTCGAAGAGGAGGAACTAATTACCATCAATATTGAATCATCCGAGCAGTTAAGAGCGCAACTACAGCTCTAACCGACTCCCCGGCGCGCAAGCTCCGCTTCTTCCGGCCTCTAGGAGAGGGCACCGCCTCGCCGACCCTTGGGTCTCACGCCCGCCTCGTCCATCCTCTGGGGGAGGACTCCGCCTCGTCCGACCCCGAGGCCGCGGGCTCCGCCTCGTCCGACCCTTGGGCCTGCGCTCCGCCTCACCCGACCCTTGGGCCAGCGCTCCGCCTCGCCCGACCCTTGGGTCTGCGCTTCGCCTCGCTCGGCCTCTGGGGAAGGACTCTGCCTCGCCCGACCCTCGAGGCCATGGGTTCCGCCTCGCCCGACCCTTGGGTCTACGCTCCACCTCGCCCCGCCTCTATGGGAGGACTCCGCCTCGCCCGACCCTGAGGCCACGGGCTCCGCCTCGCCCGACGAAGACCCATGCTGCCGCCAACCACTCCAGGTCCAAGCGTATGGGCCTGAGTCAAAGCTCTGACACCAGAGAAGAGACCGGCACGCCCCGATGTAACCCGTGGCCTTGACGGGCCATACCGGAGGATTCACATCAAGAACAACGTCTGACGTACAGGTGTTGTCCTACCTAACCCCCGTACGAACACTGACGGGCGCGTTAGTTCACCACGATGTTCGTCAGGATGGAGTGGAGCGCCATGATCGACATATGATGCCTGCGCATAGCGCTAGTGATGGAAAGGACCGCGACGTGAAGCCATCACTGTTGACATCTACAGGATCGGTGGGACCCGCATGAAGGAGAAGAAGGACCCGGCGAACCTGAAGGCCTTTGGCTCTCTCTCTCGTTCTTCTTTTTCCTCTCGCTGTAACCCATGCTTTCTCTTGGCCTATAAAAGGGAAAGCAGGGCGTCCCATAAGGGGCATCACAACACATCACATCGATTCAGGCTAGATCCGATCGAACCATCACGAACCCATCGAAACCCGAACACACGACCGAGTAGCAACCGAGCTGTCGATGCGGGACCCATAGGATATACCGCAAGGAAGAGAGAAGATCTAGTCTAACTAGGTTTCTTTTCATGTAATCTTAGTAGTAGTATTATTCTATAATCCTACTAGAAACTCTCATTATAAACCGACTAGGACTCTGACCTCCTGACTATATAAAGGAGGGCGGGGTTCCTAGAGACGGCAGCTGACAATCAATCCAACGCAAAGGCTAACGCCAACTGGACGTAGGGCTATTACTCGATCACGGTCGAGGGCCCGAACCAGGATAAATCGATTATCTCTTGCGTTTACCGTTGAGTTCTGCATACGCTAAAACCCGAACAAACTGCCCCGGGTACCCCCGAGGTAGGCTATCGGTGGTAAAACATCGACAGCTAGCGCACCAGGTAGGGGAATTCGGTGAATTTGCATCCGAGAGCTCGACGGACCTCGACAACATGATCTTCTCGACAGGATCAACTTTCATCTTCGGTTCATGGATCTACGAGGCAAGCGACGATGGCAAGCTCCAAAGCCGTCTCCTCGAAGATTCGGTTCACCATGAAGACCTTTCTATTTCAGCAACTACGACAGATCAACTCACCGGAAGATTCACGCAGATCGTGATGTCCAATCCAACTCAGATTTCGTGGCTTTGCGCATCCGACTCAAACTCAGGCTCCGCATCCGAGATGGAGTCTTACCCGAGTTCTTTCAAGAAACCGAGTTCTTTTCCGGTGGGGCTCCAGAACGCGGCCTCGGCATATCAAGAATACAACTCGGAGTACACTCAGAGTCCTTTCAAGAAGTTAGGTTTTTTTCCGTTCGGACTCCACAACATGGCAAAGTCTTATCAGGCACGGCTCGAAGGATCCCTCGATCCGGTGCTTAGAATGCCACTGAAAGAAGCTCAGGAAGGTCTCGTACTAACTATAACATCTCAAGACTGCGTCGTCCACTGGCCAGATTATGTTCCTGAAGACAGCAGTACCCGACTAGTCGGCAGGACGACAACAGCAATTCTACCCTACCAAGAAGGAGACTCGATCTACGATCTTGAAGCCTCTACTAAAGTTATCAGCAACTCCGACAGTATGGAAACCAACGTTGATAACAGAACAGTTCACGCACGGGAAGTACTCATGGTTCGCCGTCCTCGATCACCATTGGTCCCCTAGAAGCACCCGACGTCAGGTCATTAGATGAATCTGAGTCCAACATATCACCCTTTGCCCAGGGCTACGAGGGTGAGACCGAGAATCAGAGGCAAGCCAGAGAAAGAAGAAACAAATTGAAACAAGGACGCTAATGTCGTGCTAGGCAGCGTAAGGAAGCTTAGATCAGATATGAGTCAGATCTGGTCGAGTACAACAGAAGAAAATCAAAACAAGAAGTTGAAGAAAGACGTGCAGCGAACACACCCTACAATAGGATCCGAGAAGCACTAGAAGAACTCGGAATGACCTCGCATCCCAGTGAACAGCAGGAACAGCTCCAGGAACTTCTCCGGATAGCAGCCCTAAGGACGCACGATGGAAGAACCCGCTCGAGACTACCTGCCAGGTCAACATCTCATAGGAAGGAAGATCAAAATCAAAGGAAGTCCGCTTTCGAGAGACTTGGACCAAGTGGAAGTCACAACAGAGAAAGTAGAAGGGACCACAGTCAAAACTACCGAGTCGAACAACCAAGACAGATCAGAAACGAAGCACCCATTCAGACAACCCCGTAGAACTACTCTCACCAAAACAACAGTTGGCTAGAAGGAGGTGCTGAATCAGAATACAAAGAAGCAAGAACGCACGATAGATTCCCCTATTTTGTAAACAGACTTGCTTCAATACGACTACCTCACAAGTTCAAGCCGTCCAGCCACTCTAAATATGATGGCAAGACCGAACCAAGGCAGTGGCACAGGATTTACTCGCAATCGATTGAACTAGCAGGAGGAGACGACGATATCAAGACCTTGTTCTTTCCCATGGCCCTAGAAACCATGCCCCTCCAATGGTTCGATAAATTGAATCTAGGGTCAATCAGAAATTGGGAGGACTTACAAAAAGTTTTCTGTGAAAATTTCGCGGGTATCATTACGCACCCCATCACCCACGTAGAATTAAAAGGACTCAAGCAGAAAGGAGACGAAAGTCTCAGGAATTACTATCGATGATTTGGCGAACTACGTGCTCAAGTACATGACATCACCGAACGAGAAGTAATCGAACCTTTCTCTCACGGAATCATGGCTAGGTGGCAATTTTAGGACTTCTGCAAAGAAAATCTGAGAAACAATGAAGAATTCAGATGCACAGTAGAAAAAATGATTACTGCAGAAGAGAAGACACGAGAAAGGTTCCCGGATAGAAACAACCGAGACAACCCGGACAAGCAAAATCATCGAAACAACAGACATCAAGAAAGGAAACATGAACCAGACAACACCATAGCGGTGGCTGACAAATCAAGGAAGTTTTTCAAACCCAGAAGATATGACGACATTGAAAACATGCAT